GGCCACCACTCAGTAGGCTCCGACTGTATACCAGGCATGGCTACGGCCTCCTAGCTCCTAGCTGCTGGGTGGCTAAGCGGGAACCAGCCCCAGAACCCCGGCCCCTCCAGGGCTCACGAACCTGCTGCTTCTCACTCTCAGCCAGGAGGAGGCCCTCGTCCCGCTCCTGCTGCAGGGCAGCGATCTCCTCGCTCAGCTCCTCCTTCTCGGCCTCCAGCCGGGCCAGCAGCTCCTCCCGCTCCCGCTGCAGCTGACTCTGCAGTTGGGCCCGTTCTGCCTCCAGCTCCCGCCATGCTGCCTCCTGGGGGCCAGGCCCAAGCACATGTGACCCATGAGGCTGCAAGGCCACCTGTACCTCAGACCCTGAGAGACAGGTGACCAGGAAACTACAGGGTGGGTGGCTGCTGAGGGCTGTGGCTGGGACAAACCAGGGTTGCACGAGCCCCAAGGAGCAGCAGCCCTGGTCTGGGGGTCGGAGGCACCGCACACAGGGAAATCATAACATGTAAGGGTCACTTAGGTGTGGACTACGAGGGGAACGTGGTGAGCAATGGGGCCAGAGCCAAGGGCACCAACCAGGGAGGGGTGGGCCTGACTCAGGCTAGTCGGGGCAACAGAGAGCCTGAAGCCAGAGCGATGAGGAGCAATCTAAACTGTAGACTAGGGCTGTCCAGGAACTGAGAAAAAAGAACCTGGATTGCAGGTAGGGGTTGAGGGGAGTTGGGTTGGCTGCGAGGAATAAAAGGGGTTTAGGGCTGCGGGTGGCAGAGTAGCAGGAAAGAGTACAGATTTGGTGACACGAAGAGGCCAAGTCAGGCGGGGCAGGGAGAGTAAAGACTGCACAGGAGTTTGCTCCTTGGGGACTGGGTGGGTAGAACCCACAGGCAAAGAACGCCCCACCCAGGGTCTGAGGGCAGTGCCCGGCACCTTCGTGAAACTTCCAGTGCTTCACTGCCACCTGCTGGACAAGTGTGATACTACAAGGCCAAGGCCAAGACGACACATGGCGCCCCCTGGAGTCCTGCAGGACAGGCTGAACCTCTGACACAGGAAGCCCTGTCCCCCCAAATACACTCCTCCTACGTGAAAATAGCAACCAGCATTTTCGCAGCATTTACAAAGTGCCAGTCACTATATTAAGCCCTTTATATGGATTATCTCACCTCATCCTCACAATCCCCTGTGCTATCCTCACCCCCTTCGTTACAGATGGGAAAATGAAGGCAGAGACCATAGGTGACATAACCAGTATAACTCATCCTGCAGTCTGGCCTAGACCAGATCCAAACCCAGGCATGTGACTCCAGAGCCAGTGTTCTTAGACAGCTCTGTTCTGTCTTGTAGTGACCTGGCCCCTCACCTTTCGCACTAGGTGTTCAGGTCCTAGAGTGGTCCTTCATATGCAAACAGCACTTCTTACAAATGAAAGTGCCTTCCTGAATCAGGATCACCAGGGCTAGACCAGATCCGGGGCCTGGGAATCTGTATGTTTGATACGGAGTCCCCAGTGTTTCCTCCCAGCTGCTCCCAGGGCCTCCGGAACGGAAATAAAGTTCTGTTTCACAGAGGTGGAAACCGAGGCAGAGGGAGCAGAATGACTCGCCTGAGACCACAGAGGAGAGTGAGCAGAGCCCCGCCCACCCTGACCCCGCTACCCGAACCTTCTCTCGCTGGAGTCGCTGCACGTCCTCCTCGTGGGCTGCCCGCTGCTCCCGCAGGGAGGCCTGGGCCTCCCGCTCAGCCTGCGCCAGCTTCTGGGCCGTCAGCTCCTTGTCCAGGGCCGCCTTCTCCTCTGCCATTGTCATCTGCTGCCGGAGGCCTGCCAGTTCTCCTGCACAGGGATGGCGGGAGGGGACAGACTTGGGTCGGAACGGAACCTCCTTGTGGACCAGCAGACTCAGGCCAGGTGAGCCATGTAGGCAAAGCCCCAGAGGAGAGAGGGCCCACCAGGTACCAGCTGGGTTCCCTTGGAGAAGCTCCTCACGCCCTGGGCTTCAGTTTTCCCATCTGCTGCCTGAGCCCACGGGCCCTGCCCCACCCCCTCCCTCCCTGAAATGGCATCAAAGGGATGAAATGTCTGATGGGGAGGCTCCCACAAATGGGGAGGACAGCAGCCCCCATTGTGGATTGCTTACTACGGATCATTTACAGATGAGGATATGCAGGCTCAGAGGAGACAGGCAATTTCCCAAAGCTGCACAGCTTTCCATGAGGTGTCTCCTTTAATGACTAATTGCCATAGACAAACTAGGTGGGCTGTTAGCACTAATGGAGGGACCACGGGGAGGGTACACCCACTGTGGACAATCTAAAAACCATCCCCCCATCTTTCAGCATTTCCCTTTCTAGTTCTGTCTGGCTCAGCTGGACGAGGACGGGAAGATTAATTTTCATGGTCCAAGAAACCGGGTGGGGCACGTGGAGAGAAGTGGGGCTGGGACTGTAGGGCCGAGAGAGTCGCTCAGAAAAGCAGCGACGGCTCCACGGAGAACTGGGAACTCTCAGCGCCCTGATGACAATAAGCAGCAGGCACCGCTGGCTGAGCCAGGAGCTGTGAGAAGCCTCAAATGCTTGCCTCACGCCTTCCTGGCAACAGCCTTAGAAGGCTGGCAATCACCTCTAACTGTCAGATGAGGAACCTGTGGCCCAGGGGGGAAGGGAATTGCTTGAAAAAGCTCAGATCTAAGCAGCAGTGGCAGCGGCAGGATTGGAACCCAGGTCAGCCAGACTCCAAAGCCAGTGCTCCCAACTTCGGTGAGACCCCAGACCTTGACAGGTTAGTCTGGGTTAGAGTCAGGTATTCCTCACCCACCCCCTGGTCCCCCCATACCAGTCAGGGCCTCCTTGGCCAGAAGCAGGGCCTGCCCATCAGCTTCCAGCTGCTCCCGACGGGCCTCGAGCTGGGCCAGCTGCCGCTGCACCTCGAACAGGCTGCTCTCCAGGGCTTCCTTCTCCAAGCTGCAGCACACAGCCCCTCAGGCCTCAGGACTCGGCCTCCCGGGCCCCAGGAAACTGTGGATCCCAGGGCGTGGCCAGCCGTGGGCCAGGTGCCAGCCTACCTGCCCAGCCGGTCCCACGCTCCCTGGGGAAGCCTGAGCCATAGCTAGGACGCACTGGCAAGCCCTGCTCCTCAGCAACTGTGTGTGGGCCAATGCCAGGGTGTAGCTGGTGGCCCCAGGCAGACCCTCGCCCACCCCCCACAGTGGGCTGGGCAGAGCCTAAGCCTTACCGCAGGCGTGTGGCTTCCTCCAATAGGGTCCGGCCTTCACGCTCAGCTGCCGCCAGCTGCACAGCCAGACCGGCCCGCTCCTTGGCCAGCGCCTCCTTCTCCCGGGTAGCCCGCTCCAGCGCCTCTACCTGCCGTTGTGTCTCCCGCCGTGCCTGCTCCAGCTCATGCTCCCGCCCGCTCAGCTGTCGGGAGAGCTGGCACCCACACAGGCACTGTGAGCACCCTCACCACCCCCCCAGAACCCCCCAGCCGGCCCATCATGCAGGACCCCAACCCCGGGCCTGACCCAGCCCTGGCCTAACAGGCAGGAGAGCAGAGTTCAAGCCCAGTCTCCACCCTGATGTGCTGTCTGTACTTGGACAAACCACAGACTTCTCTGAACTTGCAATACACATACGTGAGGGTCCTCACTCAGTTTGGGTCATAACAGAACCCTTTCTACGCCCCTGACCTTCCAGAGAAGCTGAGTATATAAAACAGACGAAAGGAGTGCTGCTTTGCAGGCCTCAGAATGGGAACACAGCCCTGCTCCCTGCAGCTGTGGCCCATACCCTACAGGCCCCTCCCAGGAGCCCCGGACGCCATATAAAGGTCACTGTGTCCCTAAGACCCTGAGGTCCCTTCCAGTATGTTGTCCCAACAAGTCTCACATTCCAGTCCTAAAATTCTGCACTTATCATCCCATTGGGGATTGTTACTGGGAGGTGATTCAGCTGCCAAATGCTTCCACGGGCGTCCTCTTCAGAACAACCCTTTGTGATAAGAACACTTAGCCCCGTGTCACAGACGGGGCGACTGAGGCATGGGGAGGTGGGGTAGTTTGCCCAAGGGCCCAGTTAGCAGAGGTGGGGCTGAACCTAAGCCCATATTCAGACTCCTGAGCCTGCGAGTTACCCAGGACAGGTGTCGGGGGCTGGGAGGCTAGAACCCTGGCCCCACCTGCTCCCCTTCCTCCATCACCCACCTGGGCCAGCTGCTCCTGCAGCCGGCAGCGCTCCTGGCGCAGTGCGGGGACCTGGTGCTCCAGGGCCTCCCGGGCCTGCTCTGCCACCCGCAAGGAGCCCTCCAGGCCCTGTCGATCCACCTCCTGCTCCAGCCGCAGCTGCTCCAGCCGCTCCTGCTCCTCCCTCGCCAGGGTGGCCTCCTGCTCCACTCGCCGCTGCTGGTCCAGCAGCGCTGCCTTTTCCTCCTCCAGCTGTGAGGCCAGTGGGGGTGGGGGTGAGGGAGCAGATCAGCCCAGCCCCTCCACCTGGGGAAAGGGGGCCCACCCAGGACCAAGGGCCACCTGCCCACCTACCCCAGACAGCCCAGGGAGGCTCCCTCGGGGAAGGGGCAGTGGACATGGGGGAGAGGGAAGAAGGGAGAAAGGTCCGTAGAACTTCTTTTTTCTCAGACCATGAAAGAGGATAGACAGACAGAGTCAGAGACGGACAGAGGCAGGCAGCGAGACAGAGAGGTGCAGGGACAGAGGTGTTCAGGGAGGCGTACAGCGAGGCAGGATGTGGGCCAAGGCTGGGCCTGAGACGCCCCCTGGGGTCTCTGAGTGGGGGCACAGGGGGCGAGGAGGGGACATACCTGGGCGACGAGGTGGTTCAGGCCCCGCTTGTCCTGCGCGAGGCTCTCGTTGAGGGCACTCAGCTTGGACAAGGCGTCCCGCAAAGAGGCCTCCTCCGCCCTCAGCTTGGTCATCGCGAGCTCGAGGTCCGTGCGGCCAGCCTCAGCCTGCAGGGGCCAGCGCGGGGCGGCCAGAGACAGCCAGGTGGGGAGAGATGGCGAGAGGGACAGAGACGGGAGCGATGGGAAAGGGTGTGCAGAGACATGGAAGATGGGGAGAGGCAAGAGGGTGGGGAGAAACAAGAGACACAGAGACGGGGTAGAGGGACAAGGGAGGTGCACGGTGAGAAATCACTGCAGAGGCCTAGTGTCTAGGGAGCTACTTAAAAGCTGCTGCACACTGCAGAGCTGTGCAGAGCAGGGCAGAGGGTTCCCCAGAGGGGATTTAGGGTGGCACTGCTCAGGGCCCAGACGACAGGGAGTGGGGCAGGCACTCGCTAAGGACTGTGCCCCAATCCTCACAGATCCCAGGCCCGTGACCAGAGATGGGCCTGGATGACCTGAACTACTGGCACTGCCCAGGAGTATCTGAAAGAGCAGGGATGCGGCCACTAATAGAGGTGAATTCACTTATGTCTGGGGTCAGAGGTTGGTTTGTGGCCTGGGTCAAAGGTTAGCCTGAGTCCAGAAGGAAGGGTTCTGCCTGTGATCAGGGTCGGGGGTCAGCCTGAAATAGAGGTCAGTCTGTGGCCAGGGTGAGAAGGTCTGGGGCCCAGGACGGAGGTAGGTTTCTGGTTGTGGGGCAAACAGGGACACACCTTGGTCAGCGCCTCGGCCACCTCGGCCTTCTCAGCCTGCAACATGTCCCGCTGCAGCGTGGCACAGCTCAGCGCCTCCCTCACCTCCACCAGCTCCTTCGCCAGCCCCGAGCGCTTCACCTCCAGCTGCTCCAGTTGTCTGATGCTGTGGGACAGAAGGCGGGGTGCTCCATGTCACTTCCCTGCCCTGCGTTTCCCTCAGCCAGCCAATCTGGAACAGGCTGGGGGGCAGGGCTGAGGCAGGAGCCCTGGTGGCAAGAGCCTTACCAGAAGGACAGCCAGGGTCACCGCCTTTTGGCTCTGTGACTCTGGGCCTCAGTTTTCACATCTGCAAAATGGGCCTCACAAAGTTGTTATAAGGATACATGGCTTACTTAAGGATACATGAAATATGTAGGTTAGTGCCTGACAGAGCTCCACAAGGGCTTTTAGAAGCAGGAATAATGTACTGGCTATCATTATGACTTATGTCTCAGAGAATAAACAGTGCAGTGGTTAAGAGGTTAACTCTTTAGAGTGATGGGCAGAATGCTTGGGTTCAAATCCTGGCTCTAACTAGCTGTGACCTTAAGGAAATTATATGACTTCTCTGTGCCTCAGTTTTACCATCCATAATATGGGGCTAATAACAGCTCCTATATCACAGAGTTATCCTGAGGGTTAAATAAGATGATCTAATTGTTTAAATTGATATTAATACTAATATTACTGTAACTTTAATTTTTAAAAATAATGTTAATATTACTACTGGTATTTTAATTATTGTCATTATTACCATCCACACGCTTCCTTCCTCCAGTTCTCGGATCCCAGGTAAGTGACTGTACCTCCCTGAGCCTGTTTACCGAGACAGGACGGATCAGAAGACCCTACACCGGAGGACTTCTCAAGATGGGAGGAGGCCAGGTGCTCTCTAGCCCCCAGGGACACTGTCAGGAGCCCCAGGGCCCATTCACGTGGCCTTGGCAGGGAGCCAGAAGCTACGCACCTCCGCTCGAGCTCCCTGCGTGCCCGCGCACAATCCTGCTCAGTGTCCTCCTTCTCTTCCTCCAGCTGGTCCCGCTGGCGCCGCAGCTCCTCCTGTGTCACCTGCAGCTTCTCCCGCTCCTGCCGCAGCTCCTCAGCCTGCTGCTGGGCCGCCTGCAGGCTATGGGCCAGGCTGTCCTTCTCCCTGCAGGACCGGGGTAGAGGAGCTGAAGGGGATGTTGGGGCCGCTCCCATCAGGGAAAACAGCCATGCTGCTGTCCCACACGTGAGCCACATCCTCCATCCTCTAAGGCACGTGCCTCCAGGAAGCCTTCCCTGACCATGCCCACGGCCAACTCATTTCATCTACCTCTCCCTGAAGCTGACTCGTCCCAGCAGAGGGAACCTCCTCCCCCAAACTGCCCACTTGGGGGCTCAGTGGGACAGAGGCAGTGGCACTATCTCCACCAGGTTGAAGAGGTTAGACTCCTGAGATATGTGGGCAATTGTGCTGCCAGCTTGCTAGTCCATATGACCAGAAATGCCTCTATAACCCCCACAGCCCCCGTCTGGGAGGCCCAGTGGAGCTGGGTCTGTCCAGGTCTCAGAGCTTCCTGCTGCTCAGGCCGGCAGCACATGGTGGCCACAGCAGGACAGGGGGAGGCAGCAACTGGGAACTCGTACAATTTGCATGGTGTTGCCATTCTCCCAACTCCAGCAGTCACAAGCAACAGGGAGGGTGCCTCCTGAGCCAGCTGGGGTTTCCAGCTCAGGCTGGGAGCCGACGGTGGTCGTATCTTTCACTGTCCTGTCTCATCGCTTCAAGTAGCAACCCTTAAACCAGCGGTTCTCAACCTGTGGGTCACAACCCCTTTGGGGGTCAAATGACCCTTTCACAGGTGTCGCCTAAGACCGTGGGAAAACACATATATAATTACATATTGTTTTTGTGATTAATCACTATGCTTTCATTATGTTCAATTTGTAACAATGAAATTGGGGGTCACCACAACATGAGGAACTGTATTAAAGGGTCGCGGCATGTGGAAGGTTGAGAACCACTGCCGTAAGCATACTAGACACGATAGCTGACAGTAGGTGGAAAAACATACACCATGATAGTAAGTAAAAATAGCAGAATGCAAAGTGAGGTGTCCGTTGTGCACATAATGTAAAAGCCTCTCCTTCCAAGGCATGGACAGCATTGGTTTTGCTCAATTCCGATTGCTATCCGGGCCACACCCCGTGAGCTTGGACAAGCCTCTCAAGCTTTGGCAGGAAGACTAATTGGAGATTATACACATAAAATGCCTGGCCACGAGCCTGGCACACAGTAGGTGTACAGGAAACGTTTGCCACCTCACTGCCCGAAAACATACACACATGGCTCGTTAGGACCACATTGGTGCAAATCTGCACACTTCCAGGCTGGGGCTGGTGCTGGGCCCAGACACTGATTGATGCTCCGAGGCCCCCACTTCCGACCTCCCAGGCACCTGTTCAGGAGGTCGATGGCACTCCGCAGACGCTGGGCCTCGCGCTGGGCTTCCTCCTGGGCCTGGGTGGCCCCATCGGTCTTGTCCCGCAGACGCTGCAGCTGGTCCTCCAGGGCACGGCGCTCACCCTCGCTGTCACTAAGCTGCTTCCGCAGTGTGCCCAGGAGGTCCTGGCTGGCCTCGTAGCGCCCACGCATGTCCTGTGGCGTGGGAACCCCTGAGTCTGGGGGAGCCACTGAGCCCTCAGAGCCCCCTGCCTCTGTGCTAGTTCCAGGGACGTACAGCAGCCTACTCGGTGGCCTAGGCCTGAGGCAGGAGAGTGGCTAGGCTTCCACTCCCCATGCTGAGCCCTCCACCCGGACTCTGAGCCTCCATCTCCCTGAGGTCCCCAGCAAACCCAGCCTAAGTACATCCCCTCCCCAGGCTCCGCCCCCAGCTGCCCAAGTCCCTCCCACTCGGGGCTCGGATTCTACCCCTGAGTTCTCAGCCACCTCCGAGAATCCTGACTCCTGTCTCAGGGCTCCGACTCCACCCTGGGATGCTCACGCTCCGCCCCCAGAACACTGGCTCCGCCCCTGGGCCGCCCAAGCCCCTCCCCCAGGACGCTTGGGCCCCTTGCTACCTGGACCTGTAGCTGGCGTTTGTGCAGGGCGGAGTGGATCAGGGCGAGCACGGAGGAGTCGGAACAGGCTGGGGATGGGCCTCGGCGCGGGGAGCGACCGCGGCCGGGCGAGGAGCGCCTCGACGGGGATGGGGTCCGGGGGCCCGAGAGCCCCCGCAGACTGCCGTCTGACGCATCAGCGGTGTGCTCGGAGCCACTTAGCTGGACACCGCTCTCCATGTCAGACAGAACGGCCTGAGGGGTGGGGCAAGGAGGCAGAAGGAGCAGGGCAGTAGGGAGGTTAGTTGGGCAAAGACGCCCAGTAGGGGCAGAGGGGTCGCAGCGGCCACGTGACTAGCTCCATCCCCAAATCTGCAGCACAGTCTAAGCTCCTTTCCAACAAGGCTTCCTGATTCCGCTCCCGCTAGCTCACAGCCCTCAGCCGCCAGGTGCAGCCTCCCATGTATTGGGAAGACATCACTCGGCCTTTCTCACAGATGGGCCTGAACCTCTCGCAGGCAGGACCCCAGGGTCCCCAACCACTGGCAGTTCTGGCCAAGACCACCAGAGGAGCCGGCAGCCCTGGACTGCCTGGCCTTGCCCTGCCCAGGCCTCCCACCCTCTGGCCTCTCCCGCTCCCTCCCATCTCACACCTGTGCCAGGTCCCTCAAGGTCTGCTGCAGCCCCTCGCCCTCCTCTGTGTCCAGGGCGGGCTGCTCCTGGAGCTGCAGGGCTTCCTGGAGAGGTGGTGAAGAGACGAGGAGAGGGTGGTCAGGGTCTGTGCCCTAATCCCAAACCTACTCATTCCCTCCCTGGTTCCCACCCATCAGGCAGCCTCGAAGGCCATGGCCATAGTCCAGCCGCTCAGTCACCTCACAGTAGCCCTAAGTGCCCTGAACAGACGAGGCCCAGAGAAGTGCAGTGTCCCACCTCAGGTCACACAGCCTACTGGGGAAGAGCTGGACATAGAACGGGACCTGGCCCCACACAGAAGGGTGACCAACCCAGGCGGCACCTTTGAGGGGTGTCCCTCAGGTGGGGAGGCAGCTGAGTTCCAAGAGAAAGAGCCCGGGACTAGCAGATTACAGGCATGAGCTCAAGTCGGGACTCCCCAGTCTGAGTCTCGGGACAAGTATTTCCTCTTGGGCCTCGGGTTTCTCATCTGTATAAGGAAGCGGTTCTCAACCTGTGGGTCGCGACCCCCTTAGCAGTCGAATGACCCTTTCACAGGGGTCGCCTAAGGCCATCCTGCATATCATCAGATATTTACATGACGATTCATAACAGTAGCAACATGACAGTTATGAAGTAGCAACGAAAATAATTTTATGGTTGGGTCACAACATGAGGAACTGTATTTAAAGGGCCAGAAGGTTGAGAACCACTGGTATAAGGGGATCCTGTTACAGGGCTGCTGGGAGGATGAACTGGGATAAGAGTTAAATGTGCTCACACTAAGCCTCGCACACACTAGATGCTCAATTAATGAGGGTGACACAGTCTGAGTGGGATGCTCCACGGTGGCCCAACAGCCGGTCCTCAGCCTGTGCCCACGGGTCTGGGCAGTGCCCCGTCCCGCCCTGCCACACCGCGAGGCCAGCTGCATCTCACCAGGGCCTCAAGCTTCTCAGTGAGGGCCTTGTTGACCTGGTCCTTCTCCAGGTTCTGGTTCTGAAGGCGCTCCACTGTCAGGGCCAGCTCTGTCACTCTGGAGGTGGGGGAGCAACAGAGGTGAATGGGAGACTCACCCCAGCCTGTCCTTCAACCCTCCAGCTCTGTGTCCTGCACGCTTCCCCAAACCTAAGGCAGGGACCCTAGGATTCACTTCCCTGGTTGTATGACCTTGAGCAAGTCACTTCCGTCTGTAAATGAGAATGAGGTTGCCCCCCACTTTGTCTCCTGGGGAGGCACCCTGAGACTTGTCGAGGTTGCAGGAGCTGGGAGGAAATCTGGTATCAGAGGTTGAACTGCTTGTGATGTGCCCTGGGCAAGAGTCCCCTGGACCTCAGTTTCCCACTCTGCCAACGGGGTGTCTGGGAAGACTGGTTGAGCTCAAGCCCGTCCCCAGTGAACAGACCCCTCCTCCCTGCCTCACGTGGTACCTACGGGCACCCACCTGGCATTGAGGTCGGCCTTGTCCAGGTTGCTTTGCATCTGCAGCTGGGCCAGGCCCTCCTCCTGCAGCACCTTGCCCCGCAGCTGCTCCTCCAGCTGGGCCTGCAACAGCGCCTGCTTCTCCAGGGCTGCCTCGGCCCGGCTCTCGGCCAGCTGCAGGCCCGCGCTCAGCCCCAGGCCCGCTTCCTGGACGGCTCGTGAGGTCCGGGCCAGCTCCCCTCCCAGCTGCAGCAGATCCCTAGAGGAGAGAACACACAGCAGGGATGGGATGGGGGTGGGCTCCCAAGCGTCAATTAAAACTACACTGGGATGCCATTTGTCACCATTAGCATGGGGGGGAAGTCACATAATGCACGGTGTGAGTGAGGCTGTGGGAAAACAGACCCTCCCCCACACTGCTGGAAGGGCAACCACAGCTGAGGGCAGTTAGAAAGCGCTCTGAAAACGACCAACTGATGGGCTCTTGGTGACCCACTAACTCCACTTCTAAGAATTTATCCTACAGAGATGCCTCAACACCTGGGAAATGGCCTGTGTATAAAGTGATGCCCTGCAGCATGCTCAGGCCAAAAATGCTGGTGCAACCTAAATAGCCATCAGAAGGGACTGCTCTTAAACACATCACGACACATCCATTCTGTGGGATATCTGTAGCCGAGAAAAACGAATGGGGAAGTTCTTCAGAGCCTGAAATGGAACCACTCCCACTGTAACTCAGTTAGAACTATGCAGTGAAGAAAGCATCTTCAAGCCCTGGCTGCTATCCTGGTTGGTTGGAGCGTCTCCCCAATGCACCAAGGTTGAGGATTCAATCCCCCGTCAGGGCACATACAAGAATCAACCAATGAATGCATAAATGGGTGAAACAGCAAATCGATGTCTCTCTCTCTCTCTCTCTCTCTGAAATAAATTTTTTAAAAAAAGCACCTTCAAGAACTGCAAAGATGTGTTTCTAACAAGAATATATAAAAGGGTGTGTGTGTGTGTGTGTATATGTGTGTGAGGGAGGGAGAGAGAGAGAGAGAGAGAGATCTGCTGTATTTGCTTGTATAAAAGAAGCCTGAAGGCATATTGCTTGCCTCCAGGAGAGAGAGGAGAGGAGTGTCTGAGGCCAGGGGTGGGAGGGGGCCTTTTCATCATACACCCTTTTGAAATTGGAATTTGTGAATATATGAATTATTCAAAAGTACAATATTAGGTCCTGGCCAGTGTGGCTTGGTTGGTTGGAGCGTCCTCCCAGACACCAAAAGTTGGCAGGTTTGATTCCCAGATAAGGCACATGATCCCCAGTTAGGACACGTGCAGGAGGCACCCC